TTCCCGGTGCCCCCTGTTTGCGATACCCATCGGATATCACTCAGCGTTCAACTAATAAGATCAACCACTCAGAGGCTACCAGATTTTTGAAACCAAAATCCCCTTTCCACTTAGCCGCACTCAATGTCCGCACACTCTATCAGATCGATCAACAAGCCGCCTTAGCTAGAACCCTTGAAACCTTCCATTTGGACGCATGCTGTGTCTCCTAAACGCGTGTACAAGACCCTACTTCAGTCATCTCCTTCCGTTCTCCAGATCCAGCCTCATGCTCACGCTTCACTCTCCGTGTGTCAGGTGATTCGGCATCCGAAGCTCGCGCTATTGCTGGTATTGGGATTGCGCTAAGTGTCAAGGTCGAGCGTTCACTTCTTGATTTTATCCTGGTTAACAGCCGACTTTGCGCCGTACGTCTGGATGGTTTAGTGCGCGTCAACAGCCACAGAACGAAGCGTCGATGCTTATTCATCGTATCCGCATGTGCACCGACAGATTGCAGTTAACCAGAAATGAAGGATGAATTCTACAAGGAACTCTCAACCGCTCCACAGTCTCGGTCAACAGAAATCGTTGTAGTCGCTGAAGACTTCAGTGCTCAAGTGGGATCTCTGGATGTATCAGAAACACTCCTTGGTGGTTCACATGCAATCCTAGCCAACAGGACTGACAACGGAGAACGCCTACTCCAACTTTGTGCTGACCACGGACTGTTTCTGTCAAGCACGAACTTCTCGCACGAAAAACGCCACCGCCTTACACGGAGGCCGCCAACTTCTTCACAGTGCTGAACTTAAATCGACCACATCGCCATCAGCCACCGCTGGAGAGGATCCCTTGAAGACTGCCGCTCCTACTGATCAACATCCGTGGACACGGCTCATGCTCAGCTACAACCGCAGAAAAGCCGCCGAAAACGGACGCCCACAATACAGTATCACCGACAGTTGCAAATCTGCCTTCAAGGAAGCGATCCAAACGTCGATAAAAACAACGGCAAATTATGGTATACGATCAATTAAAAACAGATGCATCTCCCCGACCTTGGTTGCCCTGCTGGACGCTCGCAGAGCCATTCCTTCGGATTCAAAATACGACTAAACGCGCAAATCCCTTGAACGCCAGTTCATCAAGAGTCTGAGGAATGAACGCGATAAGTGGTAGGTAGGGAAGTGCAGAGAGATGGAGAAGGCTGCGGCTATCGGCAATAGTCGCAATCTTTTTCG